CACATAGCTTTGAAACCATGTAAGGATGCCTAACACTTTCCATATGGTAACTGAATTGTGGCTTTTAATTGCACCAACTGGTATCATTCAAGGATAATTCCCTTGGAATCCAGCTTTCTGCTACAGTATTGGCCAATTCACTAATCTCATCACCATGGCACTAATACTTTCAGAGACTCTTTGATTGTTAATATTCATATTATAATTTTCCCAAATCAGAGCTGTCAAGATATACTATGTGCACCACTAATTAAATTATCTTGGTTTGTTGGCACCAAATTTCAACACTAAATAAGATTCTGCTTCTCTCTCTTTCAATACAAAGTTTGGCAATTTTATTTTAAATGCCATACACATTATTCTGTGTATCAAAATATTTTTTTAGTCATACCAATAGCTATCACTGCCAAGTCTGTTATTTCTTTTAATCCTCAGAGTCAATACAATTATCTATACAATACTGACATTAATGTACTTGAAAATATTTCAGTTTAAAAGATCACTCCAAGCAGTCACACAAAGTAGCACCCACAGAAATTTTAATTGCTCTTCTCACCGTATCAGTAAGGTGGCAGTCTTTCAAATGTCACTCTACCCATGAGATGACCCCAAAGTAGTGCTACAATTAAATCTTCCACTTCAACAGCCTTTAGGTCATAGTACATACATACCACTAAAAAAGTCTCTTTTCTGTTTATTATTTTCATTGTGGCTGAATGACCTACCCAGCTGTGTCTTCCATAAGGCTATGTATTTTTATATGCACACACACACATGCTATTTAACAGTGGGGGATTGGGAAGGGCTTTTTTTTTTTTTTTTAATTTAAGCGAGATCGTGCTAGAGGATCAGTGAAGTTGACACTGGCGTAGCCTCCTCTCAGTCATGCAAGGAATGCCCATTAATGTCACTGGCAGTTACAGGCACAGAACAAATGGAGAACAAGCCCCACCTCTGAACCAGTGATGTGCCTCAGCATTTCATATGGTATTATTCCCAGACCAGATACTCAACTCTAATTAATATCAATTGAGGTTGAACATGAGGATCACTAGCACCAAAGAGCCTAGCAGAAGTGGTAAGCTAAAGTTTCTTCTATTATGCCTAAAATGATTACTTATAACTTGATTCACTGTGAGCTGGTTTGAAATTTAATTAAAAATACAAGATTTTTTTTTTTCCAATCCCAAGCATAGATCTCAATGAGATGCACAAAAAAATAGTAAAATTTCCTATGGCTTTGAAGATAAAAGTAAATTGAACTAAGCAAATGTCGTATTTAATATCCCCCTCTAGCATAGAACTACTTCTCAGTTAAATAAATAAATACATGAATATTTGCAAACAATGTTGATCTCCAAAAATATTTTGTAAAAGTAAAGACACTGAATAAATTTAAACTTATACAGGATAATCCACAGTGTCAGAAAACGTTTCTGGGCACAAGTTAACTCATTCGTAAAGCAGCAAAAGAAGTGCATTCAGTTGCTCTAACAGATTTACAGCCCCAGTGGTTTCAATTAGCTTTGAAACTAGAAGACGACTCTGGACCTCATACTTTTCATGCATGCAACAGAATTCCTTTTTTCTTTAATTCTACATGATGTGGAAGGCTGCAACCCAGCCCTCAGCCTCCACAGTAATTAAAACATTTAGAGCAGAGCAGCCCCTGCTGGGCGGGTGGCAATGGTTTAATGAGATCAGAGCTCTCAGCCCAGATCAGAAGGCTCTACACACACCAGAAGTGCATATTTCAGATACAGTCCTCTTCCCCTGGCTTATGCAGTCACCCAACGATTTACTATGAGATCCTTCTTAGATGACTGATGCATTTGGCAATAGCTGGACTCTGATTACTGTTCTTCCAGTGAAATGGAGGGGGGAAACAAAGATGAACAGGACATAACATGGATGACATGCCAGCTGAGGGAGGTCTACTCTAAGCAAGAAGTTCTCAGAACTTCAATTCAGGAAGAAAAAAGGTGTATCCTTGAATCCTCCTTGTGTCAAACAAATATGTCACTTTAAATACACAATATAGAAAATGGGCCAAATAAATGCATGAACTGACATGAAGACCTCCCCTCCAGGGTGGGAAATTCAAGCATTCTAGAGAGGAGCATAAATGAAATTTTATTGCTTTCCTGTATAAGTCACTCATTCCTCTTGTAAAATGCTACATGAATCCCCCTGATCTTCAGTGTCATCTCCCCTGGATCAATAAGTTTATCAAAACAATTCAGTGTCCCTGTTCTTGAGGAAAACAGCCCTCCAAGCACAACCAAGACAGAACTTTTGGCTGATGTAGAGCATTCTAAGTGAAATTTCTCTATTGCATTCAAGTTCTGATCAAAACTATTCAAATCTTTTAAGTTTCAGACTTGGAAGCAAGTGCTTCCAAGGAGTGCTCTCCTCGTCCCATCAACAGGTCTTTGGAATTACACTGGATTTCACCAAATACAGCCCTACATACTAATGAAAACACCATCAACAAAACTCTGGTTAAGAATTCCTAGGAGGAAAATTATTTCCAGGATCATTATATTTTTTTTGAACTAAACTCTATGTTTCTCTGAATGCAGATATTTTCATCAGAATTTGAGCTAACTGTTTCTGCCATAAATCACATATGCAGCAATTAGGACCTATGTCAGGGGAAAAAACATGTTTTAATGAGAAGCCAAAGTTTCAGCTGTGACACAATAAAACTGTACCATTCCACAAAACCTTGAAAGCTAATTGAACATTTTACAAGGAATTTTGAAGGAGAAGAGCCCTTGGTCAATTCAAGTGCAACAGTACGACATTACCGGGGAACACACAACTGTCCCACACAATCCCATGTGACTAACCGCTAGTTGAAGGGACTAGTATTTCTACATCTGAGGTGAATGAAGAGCCAAGAGGTTAGGCTACAATTTGCTTTGTATCTTGGTATAATTATACAAAAGATCAAAGAGATCTCTGAAGAGAAACAGTCATGCAATGTCAGTTATAAAGTCAAGAGCTGTGACTCCATAATCCTTGTCAAAAAGACTGTACATATGGCACATCTGGTTCCAATGTAGGATTAGAAATGCATCCTTCCATATTACCAAAAGTTCATATTTTAAAAGAACTTTAATGTAGCTGTCACAGTGTGACTGTGATAGCATGACAATTAAACTAAATCAATTAGCAGACTATATATGCATGCAGATACTACTAAATATATTAGGCAATAAATTGCAAATATTTTCGAACATTCAGAGACAGCTCTATTAGGATGACAGTAAAAAGCCTCATGGGAACAGTGCTTTTAAACATATTTAAACCTATTTACAGTTTTATAATGTACTAACACTGTAGACTAATTTTTTGTTAAGGGCTTGCTATTTGCTGAGCTCTCATGAGGAGCACACCTTGAGTAAGAAGATAAATGCTGTTCTACTGTCATTCCAGCTGAGCAGACCTCATGGAACTGGAGAAGTGAAAAGTTTTGTGAATACCAAAGTATCTTTGACGAAAGATTTTTTTTCTTCTTTTCAGAAAGCAAACTGTCTTTGAGGAAGGAAATACATTTCACAAAGCTAAAGTCAAGACTTTTTGACCTTTAACTCTTGTATTTTGAACCTATGTTTAGTTTGGTGAGTTAAGCCTCTTTCATAGAAAGGTAGAACATATCTAAAAAGCTTGACTCACAAAAATGCGGATAATTAAAAATAATTAGAAGCACATGGTTTTACTCTTTGCATCTGCATTGTACATGTATGTACCATCATTAGCGAGAACTTCTTTCCTTGGACGCATTGCCTCCAAGTAAAGCACAACAGAAATCACTTCAACCAACCATACCTGCAAGTTGAATGTGGTTATGCTCATCAATTACAAACACTGACATCAGTATCTTATCCCCTTCGCCTTACTTCCAGTGACTCCCAAACAACTTATCCTCCTCTAACTACAATACTGGTGGAATCTAAAAAGTCATCATTAGCTTTTCCCATACTACACATCTTTTACACACTTTTAACTCTCCACCTAAAATGTATTCTCCACATGCAAGTTAATTTTTCCTGAGACATGAGAAGTCCAGACTTCTGACAATAAAACTGGTGGCTAACAAAGAGAAGAGCCTGCAGGAGGTTTGGTGGCCCTGCTCTGCTTGTGCTTTCAGAGCCACATTCCTTGCTGGGAAGCAGATTCCAATCTCCCCATCTCTCAGGTTACTTTTCCACTGATGAAGCTTTCAGGGCTTGATCCAAGGCTCACGGAAATCAATAGGAGTCTTTCAGTAAACATCAATAAGCTCTGGATCATACCCTGAAACTCTGTGAGGACCATATTTAAGGATTGTTAAGTTTGTTTACCTCCCATCATGCCTTTTTGTTTAAAGAGACAACATAGGTGGGGAAAAAAAAAATGCAACTTAGACATTTCCTCCAGGCCAGCTTTACACGGGCAGACTTTACACGGGAGGAAAGAGAAAGGGTGGAAAGCGACCAGTGTAGTAACAGCCAGGACAAGTGACATGTGCAGTAACTCTTACGGAGAAAGTCAGCCACGCATTCTTAGCAAAGAGCTAATAAATAACAATACACTCTTCGGGGACTTCTCCTTTCCTGAATTCCTCTGCCAAAATGTCACAGACAAACTTGTGCACCAATCAGGGTTCACAAGCTTGCGCACACTGGCAGGGTGCTGGGCTTTTCCCTGAGATTCTCTGTTTGTTCCTGCTTGTGAAGGATTTTGTTCCCATCGTACTGCCCAGACACCAGCAGACAGGTCCCCTTTACTCCTCCGGCTTTTGTACCAGCACCAAGTTTGCAGCTCCTTAACTTCATCAAAGGACTGAAGGAAACCACCCACGGGGCAGCCCCTTGGAGCAGCATTAGGGCAAAGAAAAACCCTGCCTTTGCACAATCGACCCTTGGGAGGGAGAGAGGGATGTAGAAAGCGCTTTTGGTTCTCCCTGTTTCAAAGAGAAGGGGCGGGGGCGGGCAGCGAGGAGCCTGACATACCCTGGCGCTGGAGAGCCTGCAAACAGCCTGGTGCTGGCAGCCTTGCTGGAGTCCAGGACGCCCCGCACCCGGGGGGTGTTCGCAGGGCCCCCCCGCGGGGCTGGGCTGCGGCTCCCCGCGGAGCGGGGCCGTGGTGGCGAGGGGAGGCAGCACGTCTGGGAAAGCGGTTGTTCTGCTGCCTCAGTCCCGAGAGCTGGTTTTCACGGGCATCTCTGCGCACACAAGTGGTCCTGCTGAAGTCCCTATTCGTGCCGAAATGCAGTTTGCAGAGTCTGATCGGGAACCCTTTCCCAGTGATTCAAAATGTTGGCAGCAGGAGGACAACGTCTAAAGTCTCTATCAGCTTTTTAAAATTATTATTGAGTAGATAAGATTTTAAAAGAACCCCCCCTTCTCCAGTTTACGAATTACATATAGAATAAACTAAAAGGAAACTTGCTGTTTCATAAAGACAATTCTCACAGTCATTAAAAATTTGTTTCCTTAAAAATTTGTTTCTTCCTGGTCATTAGTTTTCTGTTTATGAAAATCACATCTCCCTTGAGATCCTTGTAGTTCAACTAGGAGAGATAAAAGGGAGCGCGTAGTAGATTCAGAACAAGAAAAAATGAAGGCTTCTGAGAATTTTCCTCAAGAAACTACTAGTCAAACTATGTAGGGATTGACCCAGATGGGCCTGGTCCAGAAACTTCAAGGCCACATCTGTGCTTTCAAATCCATACGTTTCAAGCACAGGGAGGAAGGAGTTAGACTTGGGAGCTCATCTGAAAGAAAGATTCAAAGCATATGTAGTAACACTTCTGCAGGGAATTGGGATGGGGAGAGGAGGGTCAGGCTTGGAGCTCATTTTTAGAAGGGATTCCAAAGCACATGGATGTGGTGAAGCTCTGGTATGAAATGACTGTGCAGCACAGCCAGTGGAAAGCCTGTAAATGAACCATTTAAAGCCAATTGTTCTTTGGATGACTGCAAAGTCATTTCTCACATTATTTCAACTATTTATCTGTCTAGCAAAGAAAACACTTGAGTTGTGAAATGCAGCCATTGCCACAGCATCAATTGCTTGTCAAATAGCTAATAACATGCATCTTCTGTGAATCTCTTTTTTACGTATTTTAATAATTTATTTGGCCCATTTTCTATATTGTGTATTTAAAGTGACATATTTGTTCCTTTGAAGATTGCCTCCTGTTTTGGGCAGAAGAAAGAGGGAAAGAAAATGATTTCGATGAAGCAGACTTCTTGGGGCATGGGCCTCACCTAGGCTGTGAACACTTGTAAAAACTCTGACGCATATTAAGAAATTTGAAAATTGTACTATCAATTTTATTTTCTCTCCTCAGCTTGGCACACACTTGAGTAGTCTCTTTTAACTTCATCAGCAGATGTTTTATTTGGGATATCACTTCTTTTCACTGTTTACAAGAAATAGAGAACACCTTAGTGGATGTGCCCCCCAAATGGTATGATTTATTAATTTATTTTGTGAAATAGTGCCCCCATCATTCAGCTCTTGGGAACAAAAGAAGACCTTAGAAATGTCATGAGTTCAGCAGGTCTGAACAAGCAACTGGGGGAAGAAGCCCTCGCTTTCACAGCGATTACAGAGGTCCACTTGTGTCTCAGTTAGGGAGAGGAAGGGACTTGCATTTGTGTGCAGTACTGCTTTCACACACACATTTGTTAGCATTTAAAGCAAGCCCTTTTTAATTACAGTCACTGACGCACCCTGCAAAACCAAGGGTTTCACAAGAGACCAAATTTGACAAAAGAATCCCAAATGTCAGTAACTGACTCTGCAGACAGTGGGATTCATGGTTGCAATGCTTGGGCACAGGAGTAACACAAATACAAGCTGGTTACATTACACTGAGCACGAATCACAACTGCAGCTATTTCTTCCTCCACCTAGGAGAAAGTTTTAGCTACACTTAAAGGGCCAAATCTTGAGATTCTTATCATGTTTTTGCTCAGACAAATTCCAGTTGATTTCAGGAGGATTTAGCATGGTATAACAACTAAACAGGGACCTCAGGATTTGACTCAGTAGAAATATAACGATCCTCAAAACTACAGGGACCTCGAGGCACACAAAGCCTTTTGTTTTTCCTTCCATGGAGCCAGAAGTGTGTTAAGTAGTGACATCTAGTAAAATATCAGAGTAAAGTACACCATTCATAAAACTGTACTAATGATTAAAGGGTCTCTAATTCAACCCAGTGACCCCAGTGGAATTCTGAAAGTTTGAAAGCCATGACGTAGAGTATTATTCATTGCCCTTTCTTTAGTGCTGACTACACTGTGCTTTTTCAGAGGATGGAAAACCCTTTTGAACCTTGATATAACATGGACTAGTTGATGATAGGAAATAAAAGTGTCTATCTCAGCCAAGGAACAACTCACTAAGACCACTCCAGGAATTACTTTACAATATTCAATAGCATAGTAAAATTAATGACAATACTTGGCAATAGCAATCAGGTAGAGTGAGAAGAACCCTGTGTGTACCACTGAAGGTTGTTCTGATGTCCTTACAGAGTGGAGTACTTCTCTGCAATGGTATCAGCCAAAACAACATGTCTAGTTTGGTTCTGTATTTGCGTATTAACTACAGAACAGTGGGCAAAAGTAAACACTAGCCTAGTGTATGGTAAAGTAAAACCAGTATGGAAGAAGTTCAGATTCAGTATGTACCTAAAGATAACTGGACATGGTATAAGGTTGCATGAAAACAAGTGTCCTAAAAACAGTTGTTTAGAGGCCAGGTTAGAAATACTACACTACACGCTAATGGTGTACCCAGCTTTAGACTGGTAAATTTAGTCAGAGATCACATAAAACACAGACCTACAGATGTAGCCTATCATAGCAAACATAAATATCTGATGGGATTCACCTCCCGTTTGTACAGGCTTCACTGACACACTCAGAAAGTCCATACAGGCAGTGGGAAAGGCCCAGCCCTGCAGAGCCTTGAAGAAACAAGCCACATGCCCGAACCATGGATGCCCGCTGCAGAGCCGGGCTCTGCTTGGTGCCCGGGGCAGGAGGGCAGTGATGCCCCCCCTCCGCCAGGCTTCTGTCTCCTACATGTAGGAGAGGGAGGAGAGCAAATACACATGACAGATGAAAGAATCACTCTGATTTTCCTGTCTGGGTAATGGGGTAGGTGGTAGGATACTGCCTTCCACTTCTTCAACTTCATCTCCTTCCTTTTCTCCCCCCTCTCCCACCATCTTCCCATCCAGCTGAAGATGAAAGAAGTCTGGCATTGGCCTCCCAAGGTAGCAGATGGGTGCTGTTCTCTTCCAATTGGAAGTGGCACGGAGGTCACGCTAGACCACTTGCTTTTTGAAGTGAAAAAATCCATGTAATTCTCAAAAAATTGTGCACTCGGAGACAGTAAAGTGCAAACTGTGCTGCTTTTCCTCTGCATTAAATAATCTATGTCTGCATTTTATAGAAGTGTTTTATGAAAAGGCTGCTCAGTTGTGAAAGGAAAAACATATATAATTGTATGTTTCTAAAGATGATTCCAGTGCTCTCAGCACCATTGTCAGGGACACCTCGAAATATATCTAAGCTGGTAAAGATTTCCAGGATCCAGCTGATACAGAATTTTGAACCCTGTGGCTCTCAAAGTCACAAAGAGGGTCACAAACCACACTCAACCTCCATTTCAAATACTTTCCAATACATCTCCTTTTACTCCATCGATAAAGAACTGCCCACAGCAACGATACCTCTTCAACAATTGCTTCACTTACCATCCTGCTAATGCATTTAGGGTCACAATCCTACTCTTGCAGGTATGACTGATCCTTTTAATAACATATACATTTTGTTTTGGTGACCATATGAATGCTTTGCTTGCTCATTCCCAAGACACACAAATTGGAGGCCTGTCACAAGACACTGTTTCAGCTTTCGGGTCTTTGGTACCTATGGTCTTGGCAGTTTTTTTCAGCACTTTTGCCTCAGGCATTTTTGCAATCTGGCATGTCAGCACCTACTAGCTTTAGCAACTTTGCAGCCTTGGCTTATTTCCTCAAAACTCTGGCATGAGTCTGCATTGTGGCATCCTTTCAACTCCAAACCTACTTGCTTCACAGGTTTTCTTTGGTTTTTTTAGGATGTCAGCAACTGCCCTGACCCTAGGGGGGAAGAAAGACTGATCAGCAAGTTCAAACAGTGTCTGTGCAGCAGAAAGATGTCTATCACAAATGAGCACATTCACTACATCACTTACCCTTCTGTGTAAGCATGCTGGATATTGCACATGCTCAGCTACCATGAGAAAATTTCCAGGTGATCTACAAGATTATTGCTATACTTATTCTGAGAGCCTGAGATGATCGGCTGGAGAAAACCCTGTCAGACTTCATAGTCTCAGACAGTTAAAACACTATGGCTCCATAATCCAGTGGTTATAGTTTCCATCATCAAAGTATTTTTTCTCTCACCTCTCTTGAAAGCCAAGAAAACCCATCATGTAGAGATGGCTGTTGTGTTTAAGGGTTGATAGTTAGGGTGGCGAGTGCTGATTCAGCAGATGAGCTGCTTCCCACAACGACCACCAGGAGACAGCTCTGTGCCCTTCATACTACCTCCATTAAAATACTCCTTTTCAGGCCATATCACATCTTCTTTGCATTTATTCAGGGAAATGAATCTAAGAAGTCTTCGAATGGAAAAATCCACAATGATGAGGATATAGGCCAATGCCAGGTTAATCTTTCTTCTTGCCATCTTATTACTCTGAAAGTCCACATCAGCAGCTGCCTTCCGTGAAGGCCTGAGTTTTGGTGCAGCTGGAAGACTTACTTCTCTGTTAGAAATGCTTTGTTGTTGTGAACTGCTAATTGTCACCTGCCTTGTCCTGCAACTTTGCTCTCAAAGGACTTTGATACCCAACTCAATAATCCGGACCAGCTCATCAGTAAAGTCGAAAGGTGAAAAAGACAACAGATGCCTAAAAACAAGTGAAAGACTCTTGCTACCATGTATTTCTCTATAGCCAACCAAGCTGGACAAGGGCTTTCCCAGCAATTTAGAAGCAACTGGCTTTTTCAGAGGATTTTAATGGATTTGGATCTAGAATCTGTTTGCTTGGAATCTGACTGCAGATCCACCAGAAAGCATTCAACAATCATACAGAACTACCAGGATTTTTTTCTGTTAAAGTTTCCACAAGGAAAACACACTTCCTTATCCAAATAAAATGAACTTGCAGTTTATTTACAAATCTGAAACACTGTGGATGTCCTTCATAAAAAAGGCAATCCATGAGATATTTGAAAGTGTGATTTTTCTGAGGGTTTTTTCCAGTGGATATTTTGCTAAGATGAAATTTGCTAGCAACTATAACAATATGCAGAGAAAGGAAAAATAACTTTTCCCAACATCATGTACAGTGTGCTACACATGAAAAGAAAAAGCAAAGTAAAAAGTAGTGCCATGACTTCAATAATCAGAACCTTTCCTTTAGCGTCTAAGAAATGACAAGTAAGAAAGTTTTAATATAGGAGAGGATTTTTATTTGCATTTCTTAACAATAAGGGTGGTTTATATTCCACCTGGTGTCTTTTCTCACATCATCTTTTATGGGCTTCTCTCAGTGACAAGTACCTTTGTACAAAGGTTTCCTCCCCCCTTCTCCCCCTTCTCTGGTTCTAACTCTCTAGCAGGCTTCAGCATACAAACACAATGGGAGCATTGAAAGGAAGACAGTGGGACACCTCCTTTGATCTCCTGTTCTAATAACTTGTGTATGTTTGTGTCCAAAAACAATGTTCCAAGGCTGTGAGGACTGCTGCTGCCGAAAAGAATACTCATCACAGGGGTGGTGGAATAGTTAAACTGTATTCAGGAGAGTAAAGTGCCGGCCAGTAATGTAAACAGCAAACTGTAAACTCTGCTAAATGCTTTGATGACTGAAGAGAGCCCCAGTCCTGACAGCTGACAACATAGACAACATAGGTCTGTTCAAAGCATGGCACTGAAACTCACCATTAAATCATACCATTCCCCATTACTTTTCATATCCATTCTAGAGGATACTCATTGCACGTGGACAAAAGAAATGTGTCTTGCGTTAAACCAAATGGCTACTGTGAGGTAAGCCATCTGAGCTCCTCCACTCTACTGCTGCTTGCTCGCTGTTGTTGGAGTTTTGTTAAACTACAAGAAGCTGGATTTTTGTTTTCATTTTTCGTTTTGTAACTTGCTGTTGCTTTTCTTTCTTAGAAGGGTTTGGAAAAATAACTGGCATGAGAACAGAATAAGATCAGTCAGACCTTACACGCAGAGCACACTGCTTGTGTAAAGTCGCTTCTGACAAAGTGGCTACCCACAGTGAGAAGTGCAGGAAGGAGAAATTAAGTTGCACTGTCCTATTATTTACAGCTATGGACTGGTAAAGTCCACTTTGAAGAAAGAATGTAAGAATCAGCATCTGCACCTATATTGTGTATTTAGATTCCGTCTCTGGAACCAGCAGATTTGAAACTACAGATTCTGACAGACACCCAAGCCTGAGTTTCAATATGATAACCTTTGCAAAATTCTCATGAAACGTGAAAGGCTTGAATTCAATGTGTGTTGGTTCAGTACAGCACTTCTATGTTAGTTTTGCTTGGTTTTCTTAAATAAGCATGAAGTTTGTTGAAGTTCTGTTGCTACAGTAAGCAGTATTGGTGCTGTGCTTACAAATAAGAAGTAAGAAGTGTTTAACTTAATAGGTATCTGGAAAGGATGAAAAATGTTATTACAACTATCTTTTAAGCTTTGTGTGAATTATAACAATTCCAAAGTGTTTTGGCAAACTCACTCATAACCATATCATACTGGGAAAGAAAACTTTACTCTAAAAAACATGCCTGGGCCACCATGTCACTGTACAAATCTGGCACCAGGAACTTGCCACAAGTATTTTGTCATTCTAAAATAAACTTGGCTATAAAAGAATGCCTTCTTCTGAACATTAAGATATGGTAAAATAAACCTTCAGGTCTATTTCTGAGTTGCTGATGTGCAGCCTCTGGTTAATACTGATTTTCCCCATAGATACTCTGTGTACACTAAAGAATAGTGTTGATGCAAAGTTTGTGATGCAGCAGGCATACAGCATCTGATAAAGGTGAGGAGCAGTGGCAAAGACAACAGCCATTCTGCATTTCAGTATGCGTGTTTCTGCCCGGCTGGACACAGAGCAGACCCTGGCTGACTGTAGCTTACAGACAGTCTTGGTGATGAATTACACAAGACTTTGAAATACACAAGATTTAAACAGAAAAGATCCAAGCAGTTAACTACAGGTTCTCTGTAACTTCATCCAAGGGGCACAGAAAGCTTGGTTCTGGCTGAGGGCTCAGCATTTGTGCAGCTTCCCAAAGTTGTTGAACCAGTAACAGACTCATTTCAGACATGGACCTAGGGAGGTGGAGGCACGCAGCAGAAGTAAAGAGGGCGTTAGCACTGCTCAGCATCACACACACACACTCCAGGTGATGAGACACAGTCTGACCCCTGTGTGCACTGAATATTCCTTGCAAGAAAAATCACTAACACAGTTCCACTACACTGGTGCAATGGGCACAGCACAAAGGGCTTGATCTAAATGGCCCTTGTTGTTTTCCTATATTCTCTAAACTTTGCTGTGAAAGGCAGCTTTGTTTTCAAAGTTCACTTAGTTTCTTCTTACAAGATACATCCAATAGAACGACAAGACTGGCTCATACAGGTAAGACACTATCTTAAATGAGCTTAGAACAAGTCTTCTTTGCTCCTACAGGGAAACTTCTGAAGTCCTGGCAGATGGACAGATACAAGATGACCAAGTAAACTCGGACCATTTAATTTACACTTCTCTAATTTTCTTTTACCATTAAACTGTCAGTGTTATAAGACTTTGCATCTACCCAGCATGTTGCATGTTGATCTAATTTGTGTGCTGTATATGTGGCCCCTTCACTGTACCTCAGCAACATTTTCTTATGGCATTAATGACATAATTATTGCATTCAGCTAGGCTGTGCTGGTTTGAATGCAATGAAGATAACCCATGGAGATCCACTTTGCTGTTCTGCTCCACACTCTGTGTCCTTTTGCATTGTGTATTTTCAAATACATGACAGAAGCTACAGGAATTCTGGGATTTGCATAAAACTAACAAGCCCCCAATTCTTCTCCTGGCATTCAGTAATTTTGCCATGGTGGTTTTGAACTAGTGCCAGACCACATCTAACCCACGCAGCATTTCTGCCAGCATCCTGCAAAGGCAGGGTGCATCATAGTGGGCTTTCCCTTTTGCCTCTGTTCTGTCAGCAGAAGGTCAGACAAGTGGCACACTGGCCACACAGCCCATACAGCATTACCTACTGCCCTCACTTGTTGGAGTTTCTTGGCAATGTTTTAAGGGAATGTTTCCCTATAGGACTCCTTCAGTATTTTGAGGCAGTTATAGGACTGTGGGCTGGATCACAGAGGCTAATACTGCCTTCATGCATTAACAGCCCAATCTCTTATTTATTCAACTAAATTTAGATTTTAAAAAATACAAACGAATTCCTGAAAACATACTAGGTAGAATTCATCTCCCTCTACAGTCAATGGAGAGAAATAAGTGGTTCATGTGACCTACTTTATATGTCTATATTAAGTTGAGATGAATCATTTTTTGAAAGTACCTATTAGAACATGATTTGACTCATCTTAATATAGGACATTTAAAATAGGTCAGATGAAATGGCTATTCCCCTCCCTTGGCTATAAAAGGAGACTGGGTGACCAGGTCAAGTGAAGATATTGTAGGCAACTAAAGTGGGGTGAAATGCATTCCACTCCCTGTACACAGTGTAAGACTTCACAGAATCATCTAGGTTGGAAAGGACCTTGAAAATCATCTTGTCCAACTGTTAACCTCACACTGACAGTTCCCAATTACACCAGATCCCTCAGCGCTGGGTCAACCCGACTCTTCAACCCCTCCAGGGATGGGGACTCCATCACCCCCCTGGGCAGCCCATTCCAATGCCTAACAGCCTTAAGGTACCTTTTCCTGCTGGTCTCAAAGAGAGAGAAGCTTTTTTTTTTTAAACACAAAAATAATACTCCTGCATGCTACGCACTGCAAAACATCTAGAAGGTCAGAGGGAACAAATTGCTGCTAAGTTGAACAAGGTTCAAATAAGAATATATATAAAAGCCTGAGAGATCATACAGAAGGCAGTCAATGTGTAAGGTACATGTGTGTTAAGCCAATTCCTGTATGTGTACTTGTGACTGTTGTGGAATACTTTAAAGTGTTTTTTTCTGTTTCTGCAAGGAGTAAGAATGTCACTGCAAAAAGTTTCAATAAAAACAACTGTATCAGTAAAAGCTTTTCTAACTTCTCTGATCTTAGGGTCTGCTCTAATCAGCCTTCCTGTGCAGACAGGAACAGCACTGTCCAACAACCAGATGGACCATTCCCATCAACATCCAGCAGACAAAACACATGAAAGAACAGCTATGTCATCTCTAGTCCTCTGATATTACTAACCAACTAAACAGTGGGAGTACCCTGGCTTACAGAGGCTTAAGGAAAGGTGGGGCAAACCAACATAAAGGAAATCCATTGACACTTTTTGCATACATGGAAGCCATCTCAAACCCAAGAGTTCCCTGAATAACAACTCGATAGAGACCAAGAGATGATTGAGTGGAAATATCAATATATATAAACCTTATTATTATATCCTTCCCTAAGC